TTATTAAGCTAGAAACAATATCAGAGCATCCCCAGTTTAGATGCTTAATAACTGCAAATAAGTAGAGGTCTAAATAAGCACATACTCTTTAAAAACATAATAAATAAATAACACGCACTTTGACACTACTTTCCTTAAATAGTTACTAAGTAATGTATTTAGCTACCTTTTTAATTGACTTTAGATTGTAACGTAATACTTTTACACTGCAAATAAGATCAACAAATGTTATATTCTTCATACTTTTGAAGTGTAAAACTCCAAACGATCGACTAACAAGATTACCACACTGCAACAGTACAACTAAACTACCAAAATAAGGCATTTAATGTAATGTTGAAAACAAGTTAAACCAGATTCATCTCTTATTATGCCTCTCTCATATTACTCATTTATCATTTTATTACTTGTAATGTTTTGACCAGCAAATCCGAATAGTCAGCTGGAGGCCTGCGGCCTCGTGCCAGCGCACGCCTCCCACCAGTGCCGATACACAGCCATATCGCACTGCTACTCGTGTGATATTGCTCATATATATAAAACTGCAGATGTTTTACAGGTTTCCCTGTAATTAATATTAAAAGGAAATGTTTTTATACTGCACTGTACTTACAATGAATACACATTCTGTGTTCTGTGACTTGGTGATACATTTCAATGCCTGTTTTACCTGTATCAGTGTCACATTGGCTACCACTAATCAGTTTGTGTATAATTTAAACTAGGCTATACCCATAATTGTTATTTTTTGGCTAACAGCATTACTTTTATTTGACATAGAATAAAACTAATATATAAATAAATTATAAATAAATAAATACATTTTACAGAAGAAAAATATTCCCTGTAGTGCATTATTATTATTTTTTATCCTCCAAGAAGTTTTATTTCAAACTTTATAATTGCTTTGTTTCAGTTCTTGGGCTTGGGGGACTCCAGATATTCTATACATATTGGACATTTTGCTCTGAAATAAAATGTTTTGAATGCCTGCATCATTATTAATCATATCTAGCAAATAGCTAAGTAATATTATATCAGTGCATCCCTAGTTTAAACAATTTTATGATCTATTTAATTATATTGCACTTAACTGCCTCATACAATACCAAATGCAAATGTCTTTCCGCTATTTCTGTACTATTCCCATGTATTTTTGTGCAGTGGCATAAACTGACCCCAAAATAGTATTTGTTGTTTTTAAGTAGTTTGAGGGAAACATGTTGACAACATTTATCTCTCTTTGCCATGGTGTTTTGTTTCTCTCTCTCTCTCTCTCTCTCTCTCTCTGAGAGAGAATTCAGATGGACAGATGCACTTGAGGCAATTCCCACGATATACTGTAGAAACCTTTCAAGTGGCAGAGTGTGCAGGGCACTGACATTGTGCTTATTTCAACTTTAACCATTTGACCTGGCTGATTCTTGATCTAAGAATATTAATATGTGAATTAAACATCAATTATATTTAAAGTTTACATTATTTTTTTTGTTGGCAGTCAAAGTTTTTTTTTCTTGCCTCAATTTATGGTGAGAGATGGCAGAGAAAAAACTGTTTTTCAAGCATTCGGCAATTTTTAGATTTGGAGCTTTAATGCACGATAGGCTTTTTGCATTAAAATTTCTTCTACAAAAATTGTAAAAATGTATTTGTGTTCTAGCTGTTGGGAACTTACAAGTTGTTTCACTTTGAACAAGTGATGGGTGAGTAGATGATAACAGAATTTACAGTACTGGATGAATTATTCCTATAAACTAGAATTTGTACCCCTTCTTCCCCAACAATATTCAGATTTTTGTTCTAGGAAATGTATGCAAACTAGAGCATTCATAAAAGTATGCCTCATGCGTATTTAAAATTTTAAATATTTAATTTTAAATTTTGTGAAATAGTTAATGTAATTAAATAACCGTTAGTGTGGTTAGAGGTATTAAGTAATAGATGTATTAATTTAGACCATTCACCAGCTGTGTCATAATTTTAGGAAAACTATGTTTATGCTCTAAAAAGAGCCCTTATTAAATATGTAAACAGAAAACTTCACTACTTAAACCACTAACAGACACAACACAGTTTTGTCCGGAGCTCATGGACATGAGAGTTCCCATAGACATCTGTTTACTCATATGCTTATTTAGCTGTAAACAAACGTCAGAGGAGCACCAGAGCTTGAGATACAGGCCAGTATTAATGTGCGACCCTTGATTTACAGTCGCTCTGGGGAGATTTCTGTTGTGGATGGCTGCTTTCTGATCAAAACCATATGGCCAAAGTTTGCCACTAGATATCTTTCCCATTCTGGTTGCAGGTAGTTTCTGATATTTGTTTCGCTGCTTTTGTTGAAGCTGGAGTTATTTCTTTGGAATGAATGGTGAGTCATTTACATTATAATTAATTCCACTCATATAGTAATCATAGTGCATGTGCTTTTTAATATTGATGCTTTTATTTAAAGCCATTCAAGCAGTGTATCTTCACAGCTCTTGGCTCAATGCTGCTTTTGATGGCTCTGGTTCATGTAAGTCTGGGCACCAGGTTCACCTTGCTGATCTCCATGCCCAACACCTCCATTCCTTTCAGCTCTGGTCGGATTGGGGCTGGTGCTCTAATCGCCATCAGTTCTGTAAACAGCAGCCCGGAGCTTCTGCGAGGTCAGTCAGCTATTTGTAGAAAAGTAGATGAGAAATATTTGAGTTAAAGATGTGAGAAATTATATTTTGGTGTCGCATGAAATTAAATTCAAGAAAATTATTTCTATATTTAGAAAGCACATTAGATGCTAGTAAAGTGTTCACTTTAAAGGGATAGCTTTCCCAAAAATCACAAACCAGTCATCATTTACTTACTCTTCACTTGCTTCAAACCCGTGTGAGTTTTACATGTTATAAGGAAGTCAATAGTTAGTTCTCAATAGTTCTTTTTGTAAGTATCATCTTTTGTGTTCAACAGAAAAAAGTGGAATAGAAGTCGTTTGGAATAAGTGGAGGATAATCAAATGTTTACCAAATTTTATTTTTTGGGTGAACTATCACTTTAATGTTTCAATTAACTTGTGAAAGTAGAATATTGAATATGGGTGAAATGTTTCAACATCTTTCAGTGTAAAATATATATTTATGTGCAAAATAATCACTTCTTATCTGTGGCTATGCATAAAAGAAGAGGGTAATGGGTAAATCTTAGTGGTTTAAAGACATTATAATTATACAAGTACAAATATTCTTATTCTGAGGATGACTGAACTAATTTTGTATAGAAACACTGAATGACCTTGAACACTGAATTGACATTTTTGTTGGTGCTTTCTGAAACTAATGGTGAAAAAAGTATGATAGTTGGTTTGATCATCAAACAAAATACAGGTTTATGTGCCAAAAATCTTTGAATATTGAGTAAAAGTCCATTTAATTCAATAATTTATTTCAAAAAGGGAAACTTGTATGTTATATTAGTTTAATATGCACAAAGTGAAATATTTCAAGTCTTCTTTAGTTTCAAATCGAATGTTTATGGATTAAAGATGCAAAAAAAAAAACTATATTTCAAAAAATTAGAATATCATGACAAAGCTTAACATTGTAGGCTCCCTGTGTCTCAATCTAGTCCGCTAATTAATGCAAAGCCTTGAAAATGTCTCAATCTGCCTTAGTAGGCTTCAGAACCATGGGGAAGACTGCTGACTTGCCGGTTGTGCAGAAGACCATCATTGGAATCCTCTGTAGGAAAAGTCTCAAAAGGCAATTGCAAAAGAGTCTGGATGCTCAGAGAGTGCAGTATCTAAGTATATTAATGGAGTGTTAAGAGGAAGGGAATGTGGCTGGAAAAGGTGCACAAGTATGACTGCAGCCCTTCAAGGATTGTCAAGCAAGGGCGATTGAGGCTGGTGTCAGAGCATCAAGAACCACTACATACAAACGTCTGCAGGGCATGGGCTACAGCTGTAGAATTCCATGCGTCAAGCCACCCCTGAACCAAAAACCATGTTAGAAGCATCTGTGCCGGGGTAAAAAGAAAAAGTACTGCTTTGTTGCCCAGTGGTCCCAAGTCCTCTTTTCAGATAAAGGCAAATTTTGTATTTCATTTGGAAATCAAGATCTCAGAGTCTGGAGGAGGATCGGAGAGACACAAAAGCCAAGCTGCTTTAAGTCCAGTGTGAAGTTTCCACAGTGAGTGATGGTTTGGAGAGCCATGTCATATGCTGGTGTGGGTCCATTGTCTTTTATCAAGTTCACAATTAACACAGCTCTATACCACTTGGAGATGAGGATTTTTTTTCAGCATGACCTACACACATTGCCAAAGCTACCAGTACCTGGTTTAAGCGTCATGATATCCCTGGTTTTAATTGGCCAGAAAACCCACCTGACTTAAAACTCATTGATAATCTATAGGCTATTGTCGAGAGGAAGATGAGGGAACAGAGACCCCGAAATGCAGACGGGCTAAAGGTTAATATCAAAGCAACTATGGGCTGCCATAACAACTCAACTGTGTCAAAGGCTGATCCATGTGATACACCCTTGATGATGTTATTAGCGCAAAAGAAGGCCCAACAAAGTACTGAGGAAATAATACAGTACATTGACACTTTTCAGAAGGCTAATATGTGTGTAAAATCCTTTTTTTATTGGTCACATGAAATATTCTAATGTTGTGAAAAACTCAATTAGTTTTTTTTTCATCTTTAATCCATAATCATTCAAATTGAAACAAATGAAGGCTTGAAATATTTCATGTTATGTGTAGTGAACTAATATAACACACAAATTTCATGTTTTGAAACAAAGTATTGAAATAAATTGACTTACCTCGATATTCTATTTTGGCACATACCTGTATATAATTAATCAGGACATATTCGAATATATAAAAAATGAACAGTTTATTTTCTATCTATTTAATATCTATTTTACATTTTTTTTGATCATTTAGAAGTTTTTGTCTTTATACAATGTATCATACTTAATGTAATAAGATGTTGATTGATTTGTCTCAGGTCATCATCTGGACTATCATTATGTGGATGATGAATGCAATGATCTACGTGGTCCAGGGAAAATTGCAGCGCTTTACAATAGGCATAAATACAGCGCTTTCATTGGACCGTCTTGCTCAAATGTACGTGCTTGCATTAGCGTCATTTTCAAGGCTAGAGAACTAAAGGTCAAAATAATAAAAATACAGCTGGTTCAATTGGAACATGTCAATCTTCACACATTATATCATTACTCACACAGTAGACTCTTAAATGAAGATACCTGTCTTCTACAAGCACACAATTCCAATTAAAGCTTCAAATTGACTTTTAACGCATGATGGGCTATCAAAAAGTAATTACGAAAGTCGTTATAATCTGATTTGTCACAAGATATCATCATTACAAGGCATATTACTCTCAAATATTCACGAAGGAGGAAATGGAGTATTATTATCTGTTGCTAATACTTATTTAAGGTCTGTGCAGTGACTGCTAAACTAGCAGCTTTCTGGAACATTGCTGTCATCAGTCCGGTATGTGCAGACCAACAGTTTCTGGATAAGAAGGTTGGTTGTGATGTGTATGTTAGCATTGATATGTTTGTATCTTATAATGTGCATTGATATTTGGTAACCTTATGGATTTTTCTTTTGGATCCTTATATTCAGGCCTACCCAACGTTAACTAGAGTGTTTGGACCCTTCACTAAACTAGGAGCATTCTTTGTGGAAATCTGTAAACAGTTTGGCTGGCAGCACATCGGCATCATCTATGACGGCAAACCAACCTGGGCTATTCCTGTTGAGGGCATCAAGTATGTACAAAATGTTCCTTACAAACATATTTTTGTCGCATGTTAGCAGACCACTGTAATCCACATATGTGGGTCCACACGTGAGCTGTGCTCTCATCGCGGGGAAATGGAAACAAAACCTTTATTGCGGCATATTTATAAACGCAACACTTACAACCCATGTCAACTCTTACAACTATAGTGAGATGCGATCTAGCGGTACATTCTTGATTAAACTGTCCGACGTGCACTGCTCTCTGGGGTTTCGTGCTCGAAGCACCTGCTGGCTGCCTGTAGCTCAGACGTGCGCATATGCTAGAGTGCATGACAGAGTGTGTGTGTGTGTGTGTGTGTGTGTGTGTGTGTGTGTTTGTGTTTGTGTGTGTGTGTGTGTGTGTGTGTGGTCAAGTGATGTGCGTATAGTGTGGATGGAGAGCTGTTTAGAAATGCTAAATGAAACACCAATGTGGACGTGGATCGTGTATCGGCTCAGTATCGTGATGTCTATCAACCCAGCCCTAATATGTTCATATGTTTATCATAACCAAAACCATGAAAAATTTGTAATCAAAGTCTATGGATAAATATCTGTAAATTAATAGAGTGAAAAACTAAATGATTTGATACAACGCTACAGTAAAACACAATTTATTTACTCAATTTATGGTAGCATCTTGGCAACCACTGCTGCTGCTTTTGTCTTGTTTTTTTTTTTTTTACCTGAAAACATTTATTTGAAATTCATAATTGTGCAAGAGACTGTTGTTTAGCAACCCTTTAACTGCCTGCTCTACCAAATGCTTGATATTTTAGAAAGTTATGAGATGTGTTGAAAAAAAAGTACATTTAACTAGAAACATTAGGATTTAAGAAATGCAATCCAAATTTTTTTTGTTGTTGGTGGGGCAGTCATAGGGTCAAAGTGCAATTTAAAGTTTCATCTTGGTTAATTAGTTTAACTAGGCAAGTCTTGGACAACTTGGTTCCGTATCCAATCAAAATAAATTATCTTTGATCTTCAAATTTGTTTTAAAACATTTAAAAAAGCACCTTTATTTCAGTTGAGCTAAAATAAGACATTCTTAAGAAGAAAAATATTAGGAAATACTATGTAAATGTCCTCAAAAATAATTAATTTCACAGAAGGGCTAATAATTTTAATTTTAAATGGGAAGTCTTAGCTTTGTCCCACATATTTTATAAATAATATAGTTGCTGTTATATATCCAAGAAGATAATATTTAAAAAGTGTTTCATACTATTATTCATTCAGTCATTCCTTTTCTTTTCTGTCCCTTTATTAATCCAGGTCGCTACAGCGGAATGAACCGCCAACTTATCCAAGACGTTTTTTACGCAGCAGATGCCCTTCCAGCCGCAACCCATCTCTGGGAAAATACTTTTATTCATTCATTTATTTTTCTTCAGCTTAGTTTGTTTTTTATCAGGCGTCACCACAGTGGAATGAACCGCCAACTATTACAGCATATGTTTTATGCAGCCATGATGCCATTCCAGCCGCTACCCAGTACTGGGAAACATGCATACACTCTCACATTCACACACACTCATACACTATGTCCAATTTAGTTTATTTAATTCACCCATACCCCATGCTTTTGGAAACTGGAGTACCCAGCGGAAACCCACGCAAACAAGGGGAGAACATGTAAACTCCTCACACAAATGCCAACTGACCCAGTTGGAACTCGAAGCAGTGAACTTATTGCTGTTTGATGACAGTGCTCTATATATATATATATATATATATATATATATATATATATATATATATATATATATATATATATATATATATTTAATATTATAATAAAATCTTGTTTTCTCCACAGGTATCAAGCAGAGCACAATAACATCACAGTGGCCAAGTATCAAGACATCCACAGCTCGCTCTCTCAGGGGTCCACGTCGAACTGGTCAAGGGTCTTAAATGAGATGGCTCAAGTGGCTCGCAGTAATAATTCCTCTGTTTGAATGAGAATGACATTTTATTTTCAGAAAAATTTTGTGAAACTAAATTATTCATCTGTTTTATTCTTACACCTGCACAGTTATTGTGATATCAGCACATGGCAAGGTGGTTCGTAGTTTACTAATTGAAGCTCACAAGAAAGGCCTGACCAATGGAGATTTTGTTTTCTTTTGTTTCGAGCCGTACAAGCAAAAGGTCTTGTTTGGCAGTTTTGACTGGGAACAAGGTGCGTTACATAACCACAAACACGATGACTTTGCTAACCCCCAAAAATAAGATATTACTTAACATGACGTAATTTTCTAATGCTGCATGACTTCTTTTTTTCAGGCGATTCATATGACTCAATGGCCAAGCAGGCCTATCAGGCTCTGTTTTTCCTGTCTCTGTATAAACCCAGTGATAAACGGTATCAGGCTTTCTCAGAGAATGTCATCAGTAGATCCAAAATAGACTTTGGCTATACATATGCTCAAACGGAAAAGGTTGGTTTTAGATTATAGAAATCAACAAAAGCTGACTCTTTTATTAATGATACTATTGGCAGTGAGTTTCTGTGTAGATGAATGAACGAAGCAGACTAACTTGAAGCTGTTTTTAATAATTTTTAATTCAACAGGTTTCAGTGTTAGCAGCGATAGCTCATGATACTGTCTGGCTGTATGCTCATGCATTAAACGAAACTTTGGCAGAAAATGGAAACCCATATGATGGCTTAGCTGTCACTAGACGGATGTGGAACAGAACTATCAAAGGTTTGTTGACTTTACACTCAGTAGCTTTATTCTATAATGATTGTACAATCTGAAATTCACAGCAGAAATCAAGACTCAGTAGACCATGCAAAATCTCAAATCGATCAGGTTTGGTGACACATTTGGCATCAACAACCATGCCATGTTTAAAGTCAATTTCCTTTGCTATTAGGGTGCTCTGTTTGAACTTTCCTTGACATATATATAGTACATAGTATTCCCAGCTGAATGGCAAACACTGTATTTTGTAATAATATGAATATTTTACTTTCCCAAACCTTTATGGACTTGTTTATAGCCTACATGTGCTTATCTAATGCCGAGTATAATGCCGAGTTCAAAGGTACGTACTTCTGGTTTGTATTTGGTAAAGGAATAATTAAGCCTTTGCCTATTCCTGCAGTTCCAACACAATTTCACAGCAATTTGTGAACTTTTCATTAAAAAATAAAAATAAAAATACAGTTGAAGTCAGAATTATTAGCCCCCTGAATAATTTGCCCCGTTTATTTTTTTTCCTATTTTATGTTTAACAGAGAGCAGATTTTTTTCACACATTTGTAAACATAATAGTTTTAATAACTCATATTTAATAACTGATTTATTTTATCTTTGCCATGATGACAGTAAATAATATTTTACTGCATATTTTTTAAGACACTTCTACACAGCTCAAAGTGACATTTAAAGGCTTAACTAGGCTTAACTAGGTTAATTAGGTTAACTAGGCAGGTTAGGGTAATTAGACAAGTATAATGATGGTTTGTTATGATGGGGCTAATAATATTGACCTTAAAATGGTGCTTAAAATTTTTTTCATTCATTCTAGTCGAAATAAAACAATTAAGACTTTCTCGAGAAGAAAAAATATTATCAGATATAATGTGAAATTTTCCTTGCTCTGTTAAACATCATTTGGGAAATATTCAAAAAAGAGAAAAAAATTCAAAGGGGGGCTAATAATTCTGACTTCAACTGTATGTATGTATATATATATATATATATATATATATATATATATATATATATATATATATATATATATATATATATATATATATATATATATATATATATATATATATATATATATATATATATATATATATATATATATATATATATATCAATGATGGTTGGGCTTTAGGTGCACACCTACTTTTTAAAATCTTACATTTTCCTTCAAATTAAATTGTATACTTTTTCAACAATTTGTAAAGTAGTTACAATAGTTACCAGGCAGTTCCTAACATACATATTTTAAAAATATGTGTTATACAGGTATCCAAGGAGATGTGACTATTGATGCAAGTGGAGATCGTGAGCTAAACTATATGATGAAACAGATCAGAGGTAGCAATAACCAATGTCAGGTGAGATATTACCATTAGCTGACTGACTAAATACAAATACACAGCAAATACAAACCACTTTAAAATTGCTGTGCTCTTCTGTCTTAACTAAATCACTTACTTGGTTCTCTACAGGTTGTTGCAAACTATTTTGGGACTTATAAGGCAGTAAAAGGAGTTCAGATCCTCTGGCCTGGAGGACTGACAAGTCCTCCAAAAGACTCTCCAGACTGTGGTTTTAGAGGAGAACTCTGCATCAATCTAGGTATTGGGAAACCCTGACTCAAAAGAAGAACAACCTCATTTTTACAGACATATTTGTGATTCAGATTTGGCTATGAGCATACCAAAGTATTTTTTGGCAAGAAATGGCAAAAAAGCTGAGTACTTTTTTGTGCTTTTGAATTATTTTACTACTTCTAGTGTTATTTTATGCTGGAAAGTGCAGTGAATTGTATCTAGAGTTGTTTTTCCCTTTAAAAAACTTTTCTTCTGGGTTAGTCTTGGGACTTGAATACTTTATACTGTTGGCCCATGCTTTGCTAATTTCCAAAGTGTCTGTATGCTAATAACACTCAGAAACATAATATGAAGCTTGGAAGTGTATTCATGTGGTTCTCGCTTATCGGCTTCTTCAAGAGGCCAGTCAGAGGCCACACTGCAATAACTTTGTCCAGTAGGGGGCACCAAATGCACACCATTGATCAGCACATTCACACCAACACCCCAGTTCTCCTTTTCTCATCCCTTAATTTTAATCTTTACACTATTGCCTCCTGCCCTCTCTTTGATTAAAAAAGGGGAGAAAAAAAAGTAAAAAAAAAATCTTGAATAATGTACTAATGCCTGCAAGACTCAAATGTCCAGCTCAACGTCAGTAAAGATTTCTCAGCTACTCGCTGACTGAATCTCCCTCAAGCTAACAGGTCGAAGCAATAAAGTCAGGACAGACTTATGCAACCAGACATAATCCTTTTATCAGAATTCTGAAAAGGTGACTGTTTCATTTTGCATTCCTGCAGAATTACCCTTGGCGGCTTTAAGTCTTGCTGTATCATACTTCTATAAATGGCCGCAGTTGGATGTTGACACCAAATGAGTGCTGATCACCCAGCAGAGTTGCAGATTACAGATGTGTTTTATTTTTCAGAGAGAAAATTCTTGATTGCTTTGGGGATTATTGCTGGCTTGATGGCTGCAGGGACCCTTGCAATCTGTGTTTTGTACAGGTAAAGTGTGTGTTTTGACTGCTTTTAGACCTGACATTGAACACTTTGAATAGCATAATCAAGATTAAAAGAGAGAATATTTACATAAATGAGATGTATGTGTTATGATTATCCTTTCCAACAGATGTTATTCAGCTGCATTCAGCTAAAGCGTTAGAGCCGATATTAAATGCAGGCCTTGTATTCAGTCTACCTTACTGCAGCTCTTTAGATTTCCTTGGCATTTAAATAATAATTTGCATTAGAAATAAACCTTTAAGTCTAAATGAGTTTTTATTACCAGGAAGTACAAACTCCCGGAGGAAGCTTCCAAGATGCTGTGGACGATCAATGCTAATGATGTCATAATGATGGAGCATCATTCCTCAACTGTGCCAGAAAAGGTTTGAGAAGATATAAGTTTTCATCAAGGCAATCCATTTAAGTATTCCTGTTATTTTAACAAGTCAAGTTTGGCAGGCGATAGCTTGGAACTGAACCTCATCATCAACACAGTTATATATGAATGATATGGCTAATATTTGGCTTTATCTAATTAATCTCCCTTTTAGGATTTTATAATATTGTAACAGACGTCATCAATATTGGCTTTGTATAATTAAGCCATTTTAGGAAGATTAGCACACAGTATATGTTCCATACTCTGAAATGTAAAGTTTTATGTGGTACAACTGCAGTGTACAGATACACCACCTGACAAAAGTTTTGTCACCTATCCAAGTTTTAAGAGCAACAAATAATAACTTGACTTCTAGTTGATCATTTGGTATCAGAAGTGGCTAATATGAAAGGCAACGGTTTCTAGATTACAATTACTTTACCAAAATAGAATATAATTATGCCTTGAATTTTAATTATTTATTTAGGACAGTAAGGTCTAAATAATGTGCAGTATAAAATATAAAGTAATGGTGCAGTGGAAAAATAATTAATATTGTGTATGACTCCCTTAAGCTTGGAGGACTGCATCCATACAGTTACAGTACATCTCTGCACTGACTCAAATCACTTAATAATAAATTCATCTGGAATGGCAAAGAAAGCGTTCTTGCAGGACTCCCAGAGTTCATCAAGATTTTTTGATTCATCTGCAATGCCTCCTCCTTCATCTTACCCAAGACATGCTCAATAATGTTTATGTCTGGTGGCTGGGCTGGCTTATCCTGGAGCATCTTGACCTTCTTTGCTTTCTGGAACTGTTATGTGGAGGCTGAAGTATGAGAAGAAGCGCTATGCTGCTGAAGAATTTGCCCTCTCCCTGTAGTTTGTAATGTAATGGGCAGCACAAATGTCTTGATACCACAGGCTGTTGATGTTCCCATCCCATTCCCATCCATGATGATCCAGCAGATCTCCCACACAGCCTCATACTGAATGTAACCCCAAACCATGATTTTTCCTTCACCAAACTTGACTGATTTGTATGAGAATCTTGGGTCTATTTGGGTTCCAATGGGTCTTCTGCTGTATTTTTGATGATTGAGATGCAGTTCAACAGATGATTTATCAGAAAAATCTACCTTCTGCCATTTTTCTAAATGGTCAACTAGAAGTGATTACTTTTAAATCTACTTAAAGTATGGATAAAGGATTATTTCAAGTATAAAAATAAATTTCTGAATCAAAATGCTGTTAACTTTATTTAAAGAACTTGTTTAGTTGCAGTAATTGAAATTATACACTTGAAAAAATACTACAAATACATTGATATTGAACGTGAATAGGGTATATGCGGAAGAACTTTTAAGTTGTTAGTAACCTGGGTCACGCGCTTTCAGTGAACTCTATGCCATCACAAAATCGTCCCGTTTAAAGTCTGATTTCTTTAATAATCAGCGATCTCAACTGGCTGAGTGATATCTGATATAAAATGGGTCTAATTTTCCCCGCCATGTCTTGATATCAACATTTATTTTACTCCAGTAAGTGGAACTTTTGCGCTTGCCTGCCGATTTTGACAGGCGCATGTGAGTAAACGGCTTTTCAACTCGTTTTACGCTTGAATATCTAAGTGAATGCCAAAGTCTATTTAACTGATTATATTTTAATTACATTACAGCATCGATGCTGTAAAAGGAACCGTATATTATAAAAAAAAGAAACAAGAAACATTTTTATTTATATTTTACATATTTTAACAAGTCAATTTTGGCAGGCGATAGCTTGGAACTGAATCTTTAATAATCAGCAATCTCAACTGGCTGAGTGATAACTGATATAAAGTGGGTCTAATTTTCCCCGCCATGTCTTTAAAATATAAACATTTATTTTACTCCAGTAAGTGGAACTTTTGCGCTAGCCTGCCGATAGCTTGGAACTGAACCTCATCATCAACACAGTCATATATAAATGATATGGCTAATATTTGGTCACATTAACCGTTCACCGGAAGTTTATCAGTATGGGAAGAAACACTAGTTCGACATATGCCCTATAGCTAGCACATCAGCTGCTACCTAATTTCTTATGGTCATAAACATACAGGACTCTCACTATTCATGATGTATAAATGTTTATTATTTGTACAGTTAAAAACATCAATAATGCACATATTGCTCGTAAACATCTAGATGTGTATGTGTGTGTGTATGTATAAAGCTTCATAATTTATTTTTTACTTTATTTTCCACTTATTTAAATGTTCTTTTGTGTTCATCTGTTGATATTTATATATGTACCCTGAGCTTCTGAAAATTACAAAAATTCTGTGTTTGTGCACACTTTGCATATAACATTTTTGCATAAAAATATTTTTACTGCTTGAACATATTTAATAAAATAATATGTTAACATACACAAGGGCAATCAATAGTTAATAAAGATTTGACTGAATGATTACATTAATAATAGACTTCCCTCTGTTTGGTTCAGTCCCACAGATCCAAACCCCTTCAGGCTTCATTGGAGTCCATCATTTGCAGTATGCAAGACAAGCCATCAGCGCATAGAACCGCAGTCTACAAAGTAAAGTATCTTGCCATTTAAACGTTTACAACACTGGTATTATGTAAAAGACAATTTACTCTGCAAAACACTGGTCATAATTTAGTTGCCCAATAAAATAATTCATAGTTCAGTTAATTAAATCTTTCTTCTTCAGGGCACAATTTGTTCTGTTTCCTTCGTAAATCTGAGAAGCACACATCTGAACAGCGAGCTGCTGGCAGAGCTCAAACAGGTGACATCTGTTTAAACATTGACAAATGCATTTAACTTTAATGTTATTGTGCATTTACCCATGTGGATAATGTTATGTAACTTGAGCAGTACCACTGATTTTTTAATCTGTCGCAACAACATTGACCGTTTAATCATGTATGTGTTTCAGTTTAGGGATCTGACCCATTATAACCTCTGTAAATTTATTGGAGCGGCCCTGGAAACATCTCAACCATTCATTCTGACAGAGTACTGCCCTAAAGGCAGCCTGCAGGTAGCACAACATCAAGATACTATATTAATGTTTTATTTATATTAGTTACAGAACTAATCAGGTTGGGAATTAGCACTTTTGATCTATGCATTTAATTTAAATGCATATATGTAATGTAACACGACTGTATGCAGTCCATGTAGAAACCTGACTCCAAGATGTGTTTATTTTTTTAAAACCTGGCGGCTTTAAAAAGGTTTGCAGTGTGACTGTATAATTTATAATGTACCTCAAAACATACATGTATTTTTAAAAATTGTTTACCACATACCTTACTGTACTCATAAATAAAAACAGCAAAATATAGAGAGAAGTCCAGAGAGAACTTTAGATCGTTCGTGCTGTAACCATACTAACCTTCAAGCATTTCATGTGTTTCATAGCCATTATTTTTTGACAAATTTATTATTATAGCATCAAATCTTTGTTTTGCAATTTGAAATGCTGGGTGGTTGCAACCCAATGTGGGGTCAAATATGGATAAACCCAACATTGGGTTAATTTATTTCAATTTAAATTAAATAACATGGGTTGTCTGTATTTGACACAACATTGAGTTATAACAAATCAGCATTATTTTAGAGTGCATTTATGTTTGGCTAATTAATCTATCAAGTTTAAAGAAATACAGTATAATGAGATGATGTGGACAATGTTTGATCAATGTTATATCATTACAATAAAGAAAGTATTTATATATTATTTCTGGCAGGATCATGTAAATGTGCTAAGGCTTATGTTTCATTCCTTGTGATTATTAGTAGGTGAATACAAACTATAGTTCAGTTCAGTTTGGGTCCATTCACACTGTAGAATTTTTGTAAAAACTTTTCTCTACCCTTTATTTTTGTACACAACTGTACTAAGGAACTAGTTAATGTCACATTGCAAGGGGTATCAGAGCTGTTTCGGTCTTCTGTATGTACGGCACAAGATATCACAGGGAAAGTGTTATGGTCTAACTAACACTCTCAGAACATTCTGTAACTTTCCTTAAAAGTTGTTTAAATGTTAGCACATAACAACATTAAAATGTTTTTGGAACGTTCTTGTAACATTGATAAAAATATGTTCTTAGAACATTAATAGAGCAAGACTGATGTTAATAACATTATTATAACCAAGCAATAATATTAATATAGCATCTACAAATATTTTACATGGACACTTTTTAAGAACCTTCCAAAAAACTTTTTATAACTTATAAGCATTAGAGAAACTTTATTAGAACATAGTCTATGATGATTTGAAGAGCTTCTTTTATCCTCTCATGTAAGATGAATTGGGTAAAATTGTCTGCTAAATGAAATGTAAATGTAAACATGAATATGATCTAAATGGAATTCTAATAATTTTATAATTAATGTTCTGAGAACAATAATATAACATGAGACTGAAACGTTATGATTAACTTTATTGTAACCAAAAAAGGTTTCAAACATTCTGAGAACATAAAATAACATAGTGGGAATATTAATGTATTGTTTTTAGAACCTAAAATGATTAACTGGGTGTCTACAAACTGTTAACAGGGTGTCTTGACTTGTTAATCTTGCCAGATCTTATGAGAAGAACAAAAACAAATCCTTAATAAACCTTAAACCTAACTGATTTACCTTGTAAACAAATAAACCACTTGCTCTACCAAACTATCACAATCTGCAACTTTCTAACCTCAAAAAAATCCATCAGTTTTGCCAAATTATTCTGCTATTGCTATACTATAACTACTTAATATATATAACTACAACTGTTTCAAGGTATTTTTGTTTCCAACACAAACAGGACATTTTGCAGAATGAGTCTATCAAGCTGGACTGGACGTTTAAGTTTTCCCTCATGCTAGACATTGTGAAGGTCATTGACTTTTGTCTTATATTCTAATCCAATTTGTTTGACAGTAGCATAAAACAACTATTATGGCTAATTTCTTTGACTCTGGTGTAGGGCATGGACTATTTGCACCATAGTCCCCTGCAGTATCATGGTCACCTGTCATCCTCCAGCTGTGTGGTCGACAGCCGTTTTGTCCTGAAGGTCACTGACTTTGGACTTAACTCAGTCAGGCGTTTAGACACAGAGCAGAGCCCTGGATCTGACCCCTGGACCGGTAAGCTGGAAACATGAAAACAGATTTCCATTGAGTTGTTTGCATTATTTGTTGTTTGTTTTGTAACACTTTATTTTAATGGCTTTAAATATTTTATTTAATAGAAGCAACTTCACACCTACATGTCAACTAGCTTGTTAGAATATTAGAATGCTAATAGACAGTCTGCTTAATAAAAGTTACACATTATATTAATGATCATTGTAAAGGGATTTTACTAACTAGAAGTAGCTTTGCATATGTCAACCTAAATGCCACAAATACTAGTTGTCCTATAGGCAATTACGATGAGACCATTGTTATTGTTTACATCCCTCGCAATGGTCTATAGTTGAAAAGATACTTGTATAGTCAGCAGAACGTCTAAAAGGAAACAAAAGAATGTGAAAATGGTTAAGAGTTCAATACTTAGACCCACCTGTTGTGTTTGTGAAAAATCTAAACTATAAACAACACAATGAAAAGGTCTTATGTAAAAGATGTGAGAGATTTTATAATTTCTATCTGTTACTATTGTGTTGGGGTCAAATCTGTTCATTTTATCCACATTTTATCTTTGAAGTTTGCTAAGCGGACATAAGAAATTGCACAATGCACAGTTAGGCTAAAATTCCTGGGATGATACTCAAATTTTAGTTGTAAATTTGATTAAGTTCAGTTTCATTTATTTTCACTTATTATGTTTTTTAATGTGTAGTTTTTTGGCACTCTGCATAATATTTCACAAGGAAGTTAAGTTGATCTTAACACAAAGCTACAACTTTTCCAGTTTACCACAAATGTTGAATAAACATTTATGAACCTTATCCCTTTAACTTCAATACAGTGTTTTAAAATTAAAGTTTTTTATTTTTATT